TCCCCTCCCAACACATACGATGCCTTGGACCAGCAGCTCCCCTCCTGACATTATGATGCCTTGAAACAGCAGCTCACCTCCCCACACATATGATGCCTTGGACCAACAGCTCCCCAACATTTTGATGCTTTGGACCAGCAGCTCCCCTCCCGACATTACGAAGCCTTGGATCAGCAGCTCCCCTCCCCACATTACGATGCCTTGGACCAGCAGCTCCCCTCCCCACATTACGATGACTTGGACCAGCTGCCCTTATTGTTATAACTTTTGTTTAAAACTCTTTCTAAACATGATAAGACCTTTTGACGTTCATCATTAATTTCACTCACTGCAAATAATTATTGTAATCATATCTTTTCATAACTGTGATTGACTTTCTATTTATTACATTGCTGAGACAATAACAGATCAAGATTACTTTCAGAGACTATTTTTAGCATGGCTAGATTAGATGCTGTTGTTAATTTGGCAACAAGAACAATATTGAATACATTAATCCTGTTCCAAGTGTTCCTGACAAGAAATGTCAACACAAAGTTGGAACTGAGCTAATCCAGTGTTTTCAGAGTAATTGATTATGTGACTAGTCTAAATCAGACCACCATGACACAAGCCATGCGAGTCCAGTATATCCATCTGATCAACACTACATAGCTCTAAGATATTAGCATCATTAGAACATCTATAAATGTAACTTTGTCTTTCAATACTTTTGTGACAAGTGTGTCCTAACTCTAAAGTTAACAATTCCTCAATTATTTTGAGAACTCGTGCCCTTAAGTTTTGGTTCTGACAAACAAGAAGAAAATATTCCATTCCAAAAAAACATGTACATATTGTGCTTGAAGTAACATCTGATGGCCATGACAGTGCTGCAGTTTGTGACAGGCATTGTCATTCATCATACAATATCCAGGTTAGAATTGGTCTTCACCAACCCATGCTTGTTGTAAGAGGTGACTAACAGGATCTCGTGGTCAGGCCCTCTGACTTGGTTGGTGCATGTCAGCATATCCGAAGTGCGCAGATAGATGCTCATGTCCGGACACAATTATTTACAGACCGTCATATAGCTGGAATATTGCTGAGTCCAGAAGTGAAATAAAGATAATGGCATGCTTACAACTTCCTCACATGTTTCAAACTATTTGATCAAGAAATAATTTCAGAAGAAAAAAATCATCTGTTTATCAGGGTCATCTAATGAAATATTCGAAAAATCTCTGAACATAACATAAATAGTCAGCCTATATACCAAGTATATCTGCGAGTATAAGACATCAGCTAGCCCACCGGGTCACTTGGCTCACATAATAGTGGACCCTTTACTATTTCTGTTGGCTACAGGCCAAAGGACAAGCTGTTATGTTGACCCTGTTTGAGTACAAAAATACCTGCCTCATTCCCACTTGAACACATGAACAAACTTTGTATTATGAACGGTCCATAACCATACACTCCTAGGAAATGAAAGACTGGACTTTGCTATGTTCATTATTGTTCTATTATAACTAGGGCTGTTCACAATCATTAATTTCATCAGTGATTGACTTGTTTCATTTTCCCACAACCATTACCATCCCTGGATGTAAAACAATGCCTAGCAGAACTAAAAATACAATTTAAACGGTAGATGAACATGTCTGGTGATTTTGTATCTCAAATTTTATATTTGTACTGACCAAGTTTCTTAACACCCATTCATTTACCGGAATTCGCTGAAGGGGTACAATGCAATTTTTTTCTGGGCATAATGCTTTGATCTTTTTTTCCAAAATTCTGAATCCGCTGGCGGGGGTAGGGCATTATACTTGGGTGCACACTATACTCAAGAAAATACTGTACCATGATTACCAAGGAATCAGTAATGAAACCTGTGATGAATCAATTTCCAATCATACCTGTTCATTTTAGTGAATTTGTGTGAAAATGAAATTATAAATTATATGTAAGAAAAAAACAGTTACAGTTTCAATGCATCTTTCAGTACATGTGTTGCAGCTGATAATAAAAGAGTATTAAATAGATTTCCATTTCAATTTATATTTCAATTATATTCTTATATGAAGAATGTTGGGAAAGAATACTAAAAATATGTAAGATTTCTTTCGTCTCATTCATGATTGATAATTAAATTGCCCATTGATTGTTTTTTTTAACTCAACTCCATCTTTTTTCCATAATTCCACACTAGACCCAACATGAACGTGACTGTCACTGTGTTGGCACTAATCAGCCAGCATATCCGACACGTGAACCTGTTGACCTCCGATAACTACCATATCACGCTCGCCCTCTGACACAGCTGTGTCCCACTGCAACGTCATGTGACCTCACAACCACACCTTAATAACACACATAATGCAGGGGAACACAATTGTATAACTTGACCTCCACCACACACTCAACATGTTTCATGCATCTTGACTTCATGTCAAATTATCCTCATATTGTATGTGGTCTGACTCGAACAGTGTATGGTCCATTTATGGATTATAAGGTAAATCATGCCCTCCCTGCAGTAAATAATACATGAACAACAGTTTCAGTGAACCATTTTATCCACTGGAGCTGCTTCAACATAGATTTGGGAAGCAAACACCAATAGCACAATGTCTTCTTGATCAATAGCTGTTGACATCAAAATGATTTTCTGTTCAGCAACTTTATGGAAAAAGTTATCCGAGTTGACATTAATGCGTAAATCACATGCAAAAACTGAAGAATCTCATTAGTCTGTTAATTCCAAGTGAAAATCAAGAAGAACTACTTAATTTCTTTAATGTTTTACTTATAATACCAACCGTTAACCCAAACCAATCTGTAAACTTTTAACCTACTGTGACATGTATACCCATGACCCCTTCCATGACACTTTTACTGGACACTTGTCATTCACTAATTGCCTTCAACTCCTTTTTGAAGTGTGTTGACTTTTCAGTGCCATACAATCAGGCGTTACTCTGATGCAGGACCTGACATACTTCACTCTGAGGAAATGTGAAATGCAATTACCAAGACAACGCTCAATCAAAGTTCTCAAATATGATGCAGCCGAACCATGTTCAGGTAAGTGCCCATTGATGCTTTAAGTAGCCTGGTAGACCAAGTTTTAATATCCCTATGCATTTTGAAGCTATATTATGACTGTCAGGAATGTACCCGTGCATCATTACATGAAATAATGCATAAACTATTGCTTCAAAAACTTTGGACCAATAGACACCATTATGGATTAAGATATAGCATTGAAGGCGACTCTTTTGTAAATACATCTACCCACAGATGCTAGAATTACATTCACTGTTCTTTTCACATAAGTATTTGTTATAAAAATCAAACCTGTCAAAATGGGGCATGACGTCAATCCTGAATGACCTATCAGCTAACAGCATTATCTCAAAAGCTAAGTTCACATTTCGAAATACAACAAGATAATCCTGATAATAATGAATGAAATTCACATACTATGACTGTAACTAGTATGTACATTTCCAAAACAAACAATGAAACACTCATGTCTGTACAAAGGTCACAAAATTTAAAGCCCACTCAGGCTAATCCTGTCAATATTTATGTTAGGATAAAAGCATGGTGAGAAGTACATCAATGGTCTAAAAATAGTAAACACTGATATACTGGTTTTTATGTTCAGTTGTCTCATAAGCTACACTATCTGGGGCTAATTTGCATTTAGCCCATCCCTGTACAAGGCAATACATATACATGTAGTAGGCTTGATTTAGACTGATTTATTGTCTCACCTATGCTGGGACAGTAATAGGCTTAAATCAAGTTAAGTGTTGCATGAAATTATCTGCTGGCAGGACATTAACTTGATGTGTCTTTACTTCCTCAATCAATAATAAGATGATCAGATAGTGACACTGACTGCGGTGATTTTGATATTTTGTACCAAATAATATCAATAAAGTGCTATACACATGTTACACGCTTGAAGACAGTTAACCACCTGCTCATGAATACATATGACTGGTAATTGAGCGATTGATGAGATGTAAGTGGCTTACAATCAAATGGGCCAGTTTCTCTTTACATCAGTCATATTAAGTACATATACAGTACTTTTAAATTTAATTTCCAGCATCTTGGTCTGTGGCCAGTCATGTTAATAAATGATAATGTGTGTATTACTTGTAACTATATACAAACAAAATATGAACATCATTATCACTCTCAGTGAATACTGCTTACAATTTCTGACAAACTGGGTATTAAACTGTTTAATTGGCATTCTAGAAGTAGGTGAGTAAGCCAGAACATGTACAACTTTATGGATAACAACTTCCGGTTAAATGCACATAGCGACGTTTCGTTGTAGATACTTATTTGGCATAAGAATCTACATTGAAACGTTGCTATATGCAATAAACCACACTGTTATCCATAAAGTTGTGTTTTCTTATAATATGAACTGGGTAATTGATTATGTTGTTTTCACATTTAGGTTTGACATAGGGGCCAAAGGGCCAAAGGTCAGGGCAATTTATAAAAACAAACAAACAAGAGCTCCCTATTTGTGTTGTGAATGGAAATGTTGAAAACAATGTATTCATAATGAAGACTTTTTGATCACCAAAATATACTATCATAATCAGTATGCAGCATTACTTTGAACTACTCCCAAAATTATATCCCTTCAGGTTTTCTTCGTCATGCAAGTGGCTATCGTTGGAAATATTTAAAAAATCAGTCAACTGATTATTCGTGAGTTCTTTCATAGCTGAGCTGATAATCATGTCTTTGGAAATACAGCTAAATGTGCAGAGATGCAACACAAACGAGAGCGTAACCTTATAACAAAACTAGTCGTTTGAATCCATACAGAAACTATTGATTCTGAGCTCTTAAATGGAATAGCCCCACATTCCACCTGTTTCTTACAATCTATGAAAACAAAGGCAGGGGTCTAAATTTGACAAAGGTGGAGATTGAACATGTGGAGAAGATTGTATATTTCAAGTGGAAATCGTATTTACCTCTCTTTAGTATCTGGCATGTCCCTTTTACCAGTCTTCTACTAAGAAAGGAAATTTCATCAAAATCCCATCACATGTGGAGAAATAAGGATTAAAAGTCGCAGAATTCTAATGACAACACTTCCATAGAAAATATTACACCGGAAGTAACCCTGACTTAACCTCGCAAGAGGGCGCTGGAAATTGTTTTCAATGTAAAATCTACTTTCCAACCAACTATTTCCCAAAGCACATAGCGTCAGTTGACACATACTGTCTGTCGTTATGTGTAAATGTGCATATGCCAAATATTTAGGTTATAGGTCACCAAATAATCGTTTTGTTTGCTTAGTATTGATAAATCGCAAATTATTGGGTTTGCTCTTTGGAGAAATGATGAACAGCATATGAAAGAACATGGTGTTATTTATGTATAAAAATTCGGTCCTTACCTTGGTAGGTTCCAAGATCGTCTCTTCAGCATGCTGGACTGGGCTGTATCTACAGTTTAAAGCTCATAAACAGCGTATACATCTCATACGTTCCTGGCTGAAATAAACACTCGGGGCCGAAACAGCCCGCGGCACCATATGTGGTATATTGAGGTAAGGCTAGGGTGGGGAAATCACGCTTGCAGGAAATTAGTAAGGAAACGTATGATTTGGATTGTTGGCTACCATGCCATAGTTGATTTATTACAGCAATGATATTACATGGAAAACCGACGATAACTGACCGAATATTTTTTTTATCGGATCCCTGTAGCTATATGCCAGTAAAATTCTCGAGATTTGAGGTGGAAATGGAGTGTATATAAAAATGCTGTACAGACGACAAGATTTGAAGGTGTTGGTTTGCAAAGGTCTTCGTAAAATATTGTGTCACTGTAACATATATATATATATATAAGCGGCGTGTTGTATTCTTTAGCGTGTTCCACCTTTCCTGTCAGAGATGTATGTGTTTTGTGAAGCCCAAGTGTGATGATATGCGGATGTTCCGTATCTGACCTCCACCACAGTTGGTGAAGTGGGGTGGATATTTGTAGCCATGTGACAGCGGGACATCGGGCATCATGGGGGCAGTGAACCCGGGTATCGGTCTGATGTGCAAGCGCTTTATAGAGGGGGTTCTAGTGGCTTTCCATTTCTAGTTCAACTAGTATGTTTAATTTCATATTATGATTGGGACCCCCCCCCCCCCCCCCCCCCTCCAACACACACCATTTCTCTCTCTGTGTTAATAGGTATCATGCAGAAACGCAAAGATCTACACATAGATTCATATATACATAGATGTATATACATACCAAGATATCTATACATGGCGCTTGAGGAAGACCTTTCCTTTGTGCACAATGTGGCGTCGTGAATGGAATTCTCCATACTGTTATTACATCTGCGGTCAACAATAGGAGCACCAAACAGGAGTTCCTATTTTCGATGGGTCGGGTCGAAACGCGTGCAAAATTTGGTAGTAGTGTATTTGGCAATCTAGAAATACATGAGATTTGTTGAAATAGTTTGGTCCCATGATATATTAATTATACAATGTATTCTATTTCTCATGTCAATTTCAATACATTGCTATTTGTATATGTATCATGTTTGGGAGAGGCATTCAGATAAGCAAAATTTGCTTGTTTGCCAATCCCTCCACTTTATGGAAATAAATATGTTTACATCATATACATGACAAATTTCATTAATAATACTACACGGAAGATAAGATACATCAAACCAGAGACCATCTATTATATGGTCTCTGATCAAACGTGACTCTTATTTCAAAGATCTCTAACGATATTGTTTTCTAATCTCTTGGCACGAGCACAAACAGTTGAAATGCGATTGGAGCCATAATTAAGGCTGTTGTCCCAAAACTGGGTGTTTTTTCAATCGTTGTGTCGTATGATGATTTCGATAGTTACACAAGTATCCAACTAGTCGCCACGATAGTAGTACAAGGTCATTCGGAAGTATTCGATGTCAACATATAAACTTGTCGAAATATTTATCGGAAAATCTGAGCCCGAATAAGAGACAAAAATGGATCCCCAGTCTTGGTCGTTGAACAACGCTGAGTTGTTGCAGCAAATTGGAACACTGATGTGGATCAACGACGGCGACGCAAGCACGTTGAAAGATATTACCACTGCACGGATAGGCTACGAGCTGTGGAGTCGGTTAAGTGGGGAAAAGGAAATTGATGCCTTGCGCAATCAAACAATTTTGACGATCTCAAAATATGTGAAAGACCACCCAAAGGCTTCCAAAGAGGAACTGACCAAGGAAGTAGCCAAACAAATATCGGCGTTTGCCCAAAAAGTCGAAAATCTGTGAAAATGAAAGATATCTTTGTCGCTGCATTGAAAATTCTACAGTGCCACTCGCTGGTTGAAGAAATTTTACAAGGCTCAGATTTTTATGTTTCTTCTGATGGACTCAATAATTCTATCGCATGCAACATAATAGCTCGATGTCAACTCCGCAGATATTGTGTTCTAAAGAAGATTTCAGTAGTCTGTACACATGCTTGTGTACCTTTGGTTACCAGATATACACAAGATATTATTTAAAAACAATCCACATGTAACTTGACATTTGTGACAGAAGGCCCTGGCCATCTCCTCGAGTACTCACCAGTGAATATTGATATGCTGTCAAACCAGAAAATGTATCCAGTCAAGTTAATGACATTGTTAACATGGTTAACAAAAATAATCTGGATTACTGATGTTGGGGATGCTGAGCAGCTGTACCCTGGTCAATCTGGTAGAAGCAAAATACACATGTATGAGACTGACGGGCTGATTAACCTGAGACCTTCTTCATTACAACACTGATTGTTCTTGTGACGTTCCATCATGTGCATTGCAATGTCAAGCTGCCACAGAAATACTGCTCATGAGGTGTTACTTAATTTTAAGCATATGTCATGTGTATTGTGCCTCTTGTAATTGTCTTTAAAGGGGAAGTGTACACGCAAAAATCACTTTCTTTCTTTTTCTAAACAAAACGCAATTTTAGAATTAATTAGTATCTGTGTTTGAAAATATACACTCATTTTTTTCACAGTGAACGTAGGAAGCTCACAATAGTGTGAAAATGATATGCCGTTATGAGGCCTTCGTTTTTCGAGCTAAACAGGCCTGAGTTATCCCCCTTAGATTATGACGTAATTGGTGCCAATTCAACTGGGTCCCTGTCTATTCTCAACGCAAAAGATATCAAGTACCAGTTTGCGGTAAAACAACATGGCCTACGACACACTACGGCGCAGTGGTGACTCAGCATAACACTATGCTGGCTGGCATCTGAGACGCTAGAATCACACACCTGGACCTACACCACGTGAAGCGGCTCTAACAAAGCATGATGACGTCATAATGTTTATCAATTGGCACCAATGACGTCATATTGCAAGGGGCATAAGCCATGGTGTTTTTGTTGTGGAAATAGAACACTTGGTAAATGTGAAAAATATAAATCGTTTTAATGCGAAAAATATGTTAATTAATTGTGATATTTTTATATTTTATCTATGACACTTCTATGTTAACACTTTTAATGTGGAAAAAGTACAAGAAAAATAGGTTCATTTCCGTGTGAACTTGCCCTTTAAAGATCTTTATGTTCACACTCAAGAAGTTTCATTTCATGATGTATGTGAAATGTGTGTGTAATAAAACTTTATTATACCTTAGAAACATGGTTTGTTGAACAACTGCGTACAACCAATGAGACTTTAAACCCTTTATAGGCTACTCTACAGGGTTTGCCCTGATGCCGAAAACCGGCGCATTTGACGCAATCTAACGTAACCGCGAAAAACATGCACCATAATTCCCCCATTGTGTTACGTGTGACGTGGATCCTTCGGTCTCTCAAAGTCAATAATTTAATTGCACTACACTGTTGCAATATTAATATCTGTAACAGACATATCCTTTGACAACAAAATATGACAGATATCATCTTTGTTCAATGCATGAAAACCCAATGTCTATAAACCAAACAGTCTAACTGGCAAGTTGACAGTGTCAGACAATCAGAATTAAGTTTCAATACTTGCTCACTGGCAAATATCACTTCCCGATTAATGATAATTAATTTTAGAAGTTTTCCATCAGACAATAATATTACACAGACAAAACTGAAATGTCATGGATTCCATTAAACAATGAATCATTATATCTCAAAGTGCGAGACAACAAGCTGACCACGTTGATGTATGCAAGTCAATTGAATTTGTTGTTCCAGATTATGCTTTGTGGTTAAAAAAACTAACGGATGATTTTTTGTGTACAGTACTGAGTGATATTATATAACAGTTGCTTTCTAAGTTTATTTCAATCTGCAAATAAAATAAATATAGGACTTTATGATTTAATTAGATCACAACTGTATACATAGATAAATATGTAAAATTGGATTTAGAAGCAGGATTAGTGGAAGAAGATGATATTTTTTAGATACGGTATATATATGTTTCCTCCAAGACCAGTACTACAGTGTACTACTGATGAGACTTTAACCCTTAATAGGCTACTCTAGGACCAGTACTTCAGCTTACAACTGATGAGACTTAAACCTGTAATAGGCTACTCTAGGACCAGTACAAGAGTGACCAGCTGATGAGACTTTAACCCTTAATAGGCTACACTAGGACCAGTACTACAGCTTACAACTGATGAGACTTTAACTCTTAATGTGCCACTCTAGGACCAGTACTACTGCACACAACTAATGAGACTTTAACCCTTAATGTGCTACTCTAGGACCAGTACTACAGTGTACAACTGATGAGACTTTAACCCTTAATGGGCTACACTAGGACCAGTACTAGAGTGACCAGCTGATGAGACTTTAACTCTTAATAGGCTACACTAGGACCAGTACTACAGCTTACAACTGATGATACTTTAACTCTTAATGTGCCACTCTAGGACCAGTACTACTGCACACAACTAATGAGACTTTAACCCTTTTTTGTTTCTCTAGGACCAGTACTACAGTGTACAACTGATGAGACTTTAACCCTTAATAGGCTACACTAGGACCAGTACAAGAGTGACCAGCTGATGAGACTTTAACCCTTAATATGCTACACTAGGACCAGTACTACAGCTTACAACTGATGAGACTTTAACCCTTAATAGGCTACACTAGG